GTACTGCATACTAACATACTGAATACTACACACTCACTCAGTATGTATGCCACATATGATGCCGTTAGAATGCACATAGCATATTTATTTTTAGTGCAGTTTTATGTTAAGCAAGAATATTATAACAGAACCAATGACATGTTTGTGTCAGAGGTTCACCTTTTTAAAACCACGTCAAAGATGATTCTCTTATATATTATCTGTGTGTTTGTTCATACTTCCTACCTGACGTCCCTGCAGGGCCACCGTACCAGGCCGGTCTGGGTGCTGCACCTGTCACATTGACCCCTGATGGATAAATAGAGTTTAAAGCTCGGTGTACCTTCTGTAATCTATGCTTCACTGTTAGCATAGAGCCTATTGTTAGCATGGAAGCTACAGTTACTTCATACAACACAGGGGATGCTACATTGTTAGCACTGAGGCTTCTGGGACATATGAAACATCTCAGTTCTCCTCACCTCTTCCTGCGCCTCCTTTCTTACCCTCTCCTCCTCCTCCCTCTCCTCCTCCCCCCCCCCCCCCCCCCCAGGGTGGGCTGCCTTCCTCCTCCACCAGGATGAGAGGAGCGTAGAGGAGGCGACCGCGGCGAGGACACGGGTTTGCCCAGGAGGCCGAGGAGGCTGCCAAGGATCGACCGGAGGAGTGACGAGACTCATAACTGCTAAATGTCTGCCGAGGAAGAGGAGGAGAGGAGGTTTACCTGTGTGTGTGTGTGTGTGTGTGTGTGTTTGTGTGTGCGTTACCTGTGTGTGTGTGCGTGTGTTTGTGTGTGTGTGACCTATGTGTGTGTGTGCGTTACCTGTGTGCGTGTGTGTGTTACCTGTGTGTGTTACTTGTGTGTGTGTTACCTGTGTGTGTGTGCGTGCGTGTGTGTGTGTTACCTGTGTGCGTGTGTGTGTGTGTGTTACCTGTGTGCGTGTGTGTGTGTGTTACCTGTGTGCGTGTGCGGCGTGGTGGTGAGGTGGGGTGGTAGGTTCCTGGGATCGGCAGGTCGTCACTGCTTCCCTGTCTCCTCAAACACTGGATGTTGAACGATGGTTTCCGACCTGACATACGACAACGAAACAAACGCACCCGCTCACCTGTTAGATTATATTTATACAACAATGGACGACAGTAATAAATGAGATGAATCTTAAAACAAGATAACGTTAAATGTCAGATGAGAAAATGAGATTAGAGGAGATTTAATGTTAAAATCGGACACTTCATCTCAGTAATCTCTTATCATCTCATCGGGTTTCATTTGGTTAACTGTGACATCACAGCATGACATCATCAGGTAGAACCTGTGGGCGTGGCAGGAAGTAGGCGTCTCCGGGTCGTCCTCCTGGCCTCGCTGTATCCGTTACCATAGCCAACGTTGGAGTAGGGGGCGTGGCCATCGTAGTGGTCTCTGTACAGAGGAAGCTCGTCAGGGTGACATCTGCAACACAGAGAGGTGTCTATCTGAGTCCGTACTTGTCTGTCTCTCTGTGTGTACCTGTCTCTGTGTGTTTCTGTCTTTCTGTGTACCTGTCTGTCTGTCTGTGTGTACCTGTCTCTGTGTGTACCTGTCTGTCTGTGTACCTGTCTGTCTGTCTC